ATAAGAAAAACACAAACACCCCAGTGAAATGTGGGCAGAGGCTATGAATGGACAATTTATACCGGTGGAAGTCTTGTTGCCTGCAAACATATGAGAAGACTCCCAGCTTTACCGGTAACCAGGGGAATGCAAGCTAAATCAAAATACCCTTTCACACCATCTAATTGACAAACAGTAATCTGCTTGACAGTATCCAGTGTTGGAAATGTACTGATGTACATATAAATCGATATAAGCACTGATGAGTGTAATTCAATACAGTTGAAAATGTTCATACATTACTACCCAGTAATTCTATTTCTCTCTCAAGAAACTCCTACACAATTTGAAAGGTATTTGTTATTACGAAAAAGCTAAAAAAAACACACACACTTAACTATCTTTAGTAGAGGAAGGTTTACACTGTAGCTTAATTATGCACTAGCTCTATTCAGCAACTGAAACAAACAAAAACTCACTCCCCTCTCCAAACATGATGTCCCTGATCAAAAGAGATTGCAAAAGCGAGCTACCACTCACACGGTGTTTAAGAGCACAGAACTATAGTATAGATGTTGCTTATGGATAAATATATGAGAAACAAAAGAACAAAAGTTTACAAGGGAATGACAAAAATCAACTTTAGTAATTATCTCCGGGGAGAAAGGGAGGAAAGAAAGAAGAAATGGGCTGGGTTTTTACTGCAAAATTTAATCTTGGAAAAAAGGAAACTAAGGCAAGCATGGTGACGGTTTTTGTTGTGACAGAGGCCTCCTCTTGCTCCCAGTGTCATGTAATTTTGGAGGTAACAGAATTTGGGGGGAACGTGGATGGCCCTGAGGGCCAACTCGTCTCCTGGGGGAGTAACAAAGCCCAGCAGAGGGAGCCACGATCCACCAACCTAACCACAGGCACTGGGGGCAGTTTCATTTTCTTTGGAAAGAAATAAGAAAATGTAAGGTCTCATAGCCAGGATCCGTGGTATTATTCTTTACTGGGGGACAATGAAAGGAGACAGTGACACAGTGCGGGGGCGCAGCGCTGTCTGGCTCTGTGTCGCTCAGGAATCCTGGCTTCGGGATTATCTTCGCCCTTGGGCCTGGCCTCACTGGCCAGGTACCTTTCCCATGGCCAGCCCCCACTTTCTGTTCAAATTCTTATCCTATCTCCCCTCTTTGTCCCATTCTTGGTGCACACAAATCCATGTCTCCTCTGCCCACAGATGAAATCTGAAAAGTCCTTGTTTTTTATCAAGCAGTGGAACTTAAAATTTTTATCAGCCTCATTTGCTACCATTCCGGACTACTTCTGGAACCATCTTTCATAAATTAAAAGGTTCATGAAATGCTTTCTCCCATTAAACATTACTTTGCCTCAGAAATAATCTACCCTGCTCCTCTAGAATAAAAATTACTGCAGAAAATTGGTGTGTGTGTGTGTGTGTGTGTGTGTAATTTATATAATGTAAAAACAAAAAAAACCTTTTAGAGAAAGAAACCATGTTTTTGGCTGGAAAGACTCTGTATTGTAAAAATGTCAGTTCTTCCGAAGTTGATGTCTACACCAAAATAAGTTCCAGATAAATCCAATTCATATTAAACATTTAAAAAATCTACATAAAGCTAAATTATAATTAATCTAGATAGTTTTGGAACCTCTGAGAGGAGTGGATTCTAGTATCTAAAAAAAAAACTTGTTTTAAATTTGACTATCTAAATTTAACATCTTAAGAAAGTCCAAATAAACTGGTTTAAAATTTTATAACAATTATGAAAGCATGGGATTGCATTTTAATTTAATGAAGGGCTCATATATATGTAAACAAAACAGAAAGCCTTCAATGTATAAAAGGACAAAAAATTGGATATTTAGCCAAAGAAGAAATACCACTTGTTAATAATTACAGAGAAAGTATTCAAACTCTAATAATGAAATGAATTCAAATTTTTAAAAAAGAGACCCTTTTTTACTTCTAAACAAGCAACATTTAAAAATATATATATAGCAACACGCTGGTGAGTGAAATAGCATTCTTCCATATCGATGAGAGAGATATAAATATAACATTTGGCAGTTATTCATAAAGGCCCTTACAATAGTTCAGATAGTTCAGCTTAATGATTCTATTTTGGGGGGAACTTATACCAAGGAAATAATCTTGAAATTTACACGCAAGTTTATTAATTGTAGCATTAGTCATAAGAGCAAAACTTTAGAAAAAAATCTTTACACCCAACAGTAAGGTAAACTCACACTATGGAATATTACATAGTTATTTTTAAATGACATTTAAAATGATTATATAACAACATGGAAATGCTTATAATAGCAAACAAAAGGCAATGTTGGTCAATAAAAATATTAAAATATGGCTAACAGAATTGTTAACTAGAAAAACAAACATTCAAACACAAAGAGACGTTACTACATACCCACCAGATCGACTAAAATTAAATAGACCAAAAATACCAAATGCTGACAGGGGTAGGGAACAACTAGAACACCAAAGATTGCCTGCCATCACCACCAGCTAGGAGAAGGCATGAGACAGACTGTCCCTTAAAGCCCTCGGAAGGAGCCAACCCTGCCCACACCTTAATTTCCAACTCCTAGTCTCCAGAACTAGGAATAAATTTGTGTTGTTTTGAGCCACCTAGTGTGTGCTGCTTTGTTACCCCAGCTCTAGGACATTCATACATTGTCTTTCTGCAGTAACAAAATCATTTTTTAAAAATTCCCAAGAATTTATGTTTACAGTCTCTAATTTCTTGAATAAACCACAGCATCTAAAACTAGAAAGTGGTCAAATGATCCTACTTTATATATTCCCTGGAAATATAAAGGCACTCAAATACACAATTCAGAAGTATAAAAATAAGGATCTATTCAGAAGGGGAGACTGCGCAGACTGTCTAGTTGTACCAAGAGGTCAAGGGTCAGTTGTACATGTCCAAGTACATTTAAAAATAAAGAATGTGGTTTGTTCTGACTTGGCCTGTAAAATTTTCACCCTGACCCTTGGATTCCCTTCCTTCCTGGAAACGCTCCAGCGTGTGAAGTGACCGTGAATGCGGCTTCTGGGAAGACATTCTCATTCATCGCACTGCACTGCAGAGAAAAGAAGGGCTGACCCGAAAGGAGGTCTGCCCAAGGCTTCTCTGGGCAGAATACCGATGAACACAGAGGGCCCCGTGAGTGACAATCTTTGGTTAGGATTCTGCGTCCTGCGAGTTAGCAGGCTGACGGCCTCAGTGTACAGAGCAGTGTGCTCTCGGAAACCTCACTGGGGGGTGATGTTGTACCGGACACTGGGCACGCCTGTGGGAGTGTTTCCTTTCTCAGATATGTTCCATATGATCAGAAGATGCTATAAAGAGGGGCAGAAAGGAGCAAAACACGAAGAAGAGATTTTTTTAAATTAATAAAATGCAGCATGATTTCCATACTACTTTCAAGTTTTCAAATACCAAATAAAAGTCCAGACAAATTTTCTTCTAGAAAAGTAATGAAATGGAAAGAATAGCACCGTGGTAAGAGATTTTGAAGCCAGGCTGTCTGCTTTCCAACCTCTTAGTTCTTAGCTGGTGTGATTATTAGCTTCTCTAAGTATGAATTTCTTCAGCTGTAAAATTAGGGTAAAATTTGCACCTACTGCAGAGGAATACTAGGAAGATTCGGTGAGGCAAGAGATGAAAAGCATTTAGCTCAGAATGTTGCACACAGTAAGTGCTTAATAAATATTTGTTGCCAGCATAGTAATAATAATAATATATTAAGTATCTCCAGATTTATGCTTGAAGTAGCTATATAAATTTCCAATAGAATCGATAATAGAGTAGGCCCACTAGGGGTCATTTGGTTCACCCCATTAAATTAGGCAAAGAAGGAAAATTTCAGCTTCTCAAGCTGACCATTCTAGTACTGAACATTTCCTACCAGAAAAATAAAGTTCGCTTCAGTTTCCTGGCCTGCTACATAAGTGGGTTGCATTAAATAATTCCTAAGGAGCTTTCCAAGTACTAAAAATTTGTATATCCAACAGCTGTTGTTAGCCATAAATCAAAGATGCTACAGTCTCTAAATCACCGTCTTTCTTTCAGTGGGTGTTCCCATTATACTGGCTTCCACGGCTTTCATTGAAAAACATGACCTTCAGGCTAGTTTGGAGGTCAAAGTGATTGTGGGTTTTGTTTTTCCCCCAGGCGTGCTCCCAGGGAGCCTCACAGACCTGGGCGGCTTTAGGACTGTCTGTCGGTCCGGCTTCGTTCGGAGGGCTGGGGGGCTGGGCCACACTCACACCACTCAAGTTTTCCCGGACCAAACTTTTCAGGCTTTTCTGCTCTGAAAGAAGAAAAACACGATTTTGTGAAACATGCAGAGAAACTGATGATTCGTAAAGCAACTTGTACGCGCTTCGAAGATGGCGATATAAGCTTTCTTTTCGGTGACATTTGCTACTTTGTTGATAAAAGCTCTTCCTTGCGGGAACCATTTCGTATTTCCCAACCTACCTAAGGGAAAGAGCCGAGATCCACGCGCAGCCTGAAGCCCTTCATTCTCCGCTCCCCGCAGCCTACCCCGCCCCCGCCCAGCGCCTCGCTGGGCGTCCAGGAGGTGGCGCTGTTGTTTCAAGGGAGCGGCTGCAGCGGGGGCCCAGCGAGAGAACTGGGACAGAGCGGGCAATTGCGCCGCAGTCAGGTTAAAGGGGAAGCAGCGAGTCCTCCGGTATAATGTAAAAATAAGTTTAAACACCGGGCGCTTGGCCCCGCGTGGCTCAGTGGTAGAGCATCCCCCCAGGATCCGAGAGATCGGGGTTCAATTCCCGGGCAGGGCACGTGCCCGGGTTGCGGGTTCGATCCCCAGTGGGGGTGCAGGAGGCAGCTGATCAATGACTCTCTCATCATGGATGTTTCTGTCTCTCCCTCTCCCTCTCCCTCCCTCTCTCTGAAATCAATAAAGACATATTTAAAAATAATAATAATAAATGTAAATAAACACCTGGTTCCGCGCTCTCCCCCTAGGGGCCAACGTGAACATGAAGACCAACAACCAGGACGAGGAGACGCCGCTGCACACGGCGGCGCACTTCGGCCTGTGGGAGCTGGCGGCCTTCTACGTGGCGCACGGCGCGCTCGTGGACAGCGTGAACGCGCGCATGGAGACGCCGCTGGCCGTGGCCACCTACTGGGCGCTGCGCTTCAAGGAGCAGGAGTACAGCCGCGAGCACCACCTGCTCTGCCGCCTGCTGCTCGACTCCCGCGCCGAGGTCAACGCCAGGGACGACGACTTCAAGTCGCCGCTGCACAAGGCGGCCTGGAACTGCGACCACGTGCTCATGCACATGATGCTGGAAGCGGGCGCCGAGGCCAACCTCATGGACATCAACGGCTGTGCCGCCATCCAGTACGTGCTCAAGGTCACCTCCGTGCGGCCCGCCGCCCAGCCCGAGGTCTGCTACCAGCTCCTGCTCAACCACGGGGCCGCCCGCATCTACCCCCCCCAGTTCCATAAGGTGAGGCGGCGTCCCTCCCAGTGACTCCAGCCCGAGGCTTGGGTCTTCGGGTTAACCGCGTCCCATCCTCTCCCTGACCTTCCCTGCGTCCCTCCCAGTGACTCCAGCTGGAGGCTTGGGTCTTTGGGTTAACCGCGTCCCATCCTCTCCCTGACCTTCTCTGCGTCCCTCCCAGTGACTCCAGCCCGAGGCTTGGGTCTTCGGGTTAACCGCGTCCCATCCTCTCCCTGACCTTCCCTGCGTCCCTCCCAGTGACTCCAGCTGGAGGCTTGGGTCTTCGGGTTAACCACGTCCCATCCTCTCCCTGACCTTCCCTGCGTCCCGCCCAGTGACTCCAGCTGGAGGCTTGGGTCTTCGGGTTAACCGCGTCCCATCCTCTCCCTGACCTTCTCTGCGTCCCTCCCAGTGACTCCAGCCCGAGGCTTGGGTCTTCCGGTTAACCGCGTCCCATCCTCTCCCTGACCTTCCCCGGACGCTTCCCGCTCGAGCTGCCTCGTCCTGGGCCAAGTGTGTTTGCGATCAGGGCCTGATCGCAGGGCGGCAGGTGATCTTCCACGTCCTGGGTGAGCACCAGTGAACCGGCCGTGGCTTCCTGAGGGGCCGAGTTGCGGGAGATCAGGAGGCCGCTTTGGGTCTGCAGGAGAGGCGAGTGGTGTCGGGCAGGCAGGCACTTGCCGTCTCTCCAGCAGAATGTCTCAGCTGAAGATGACCGAGCCTGCTTGGAAATCAGGTGACACGACCCGGTCACTCAATTTTCTCTTTAGCGAAAGCTGATGTTTATTGAGTACTGATAATTATGTTTATTATATATAATGAATTCTGTTTGTTAAGCACACTGTTATAAGCATTTTGAATTTCTAAATTTAATTCTTATAGCAATCCTATGAGATCAATAATGTTATTATCCTTATTCTATAAAGGAGGGAACTGAGGCACAGAGTAGTTAAGCAAGTTGCTTGATCTCACACCGCGGCAGTGCCAGGATTCAACCTTACATCGCTTGGTGCTAGTGTCTCTTCTTGTAATATCATACTGCATAGCCTTTATTTTTAACAGTATTTATTGATAATCCCTAATGGGTTAGCAGGGACCAGATGCTAACAATGCGGATATGACTAAAACCTGGTACTTACTTTCACGTAGCTTAGAATCTAGTGGGAGACACAAACACATAAAGAGATCATTTTAATATGCCGTAGTAAATGACAGAGGAATTAGGTTGATGGGTTGATGATGATAATTAATTTGGAAACTAAAATGCATTTCACCTTAAAATAAATTCACATGGCCCCAATCCTAGGATCTCACTCATTCTAAAAAATTAATTAACAAGAAGCAGAGGAGTTTCAGGTATAAACCAATTAAATAATGTAGGGCTACAGAAAGCTAGTCAACAGTTTTCCTAAGTTCACAGCCAGTTCTGCCTTCCTTGGTAAAATATCAGAAACTGATCGAAAGTCTAGCACTATGAGGCTTAGTTGGAAGAAAGGTTCTACTAAAGAATTTAAGGGGAGTGCACTCAGTCAGGGAAAATTCCAGATGGACAACCAGGGGATGTTCAGATGTAGATATGACGTCAGTGAATTTTGTGATCTCATAAGGGATTTTTTCTTGGTTGCCAGTATTTTAATGGACAATTAAGCCATTTCCTGTTAGCATTATATATAATACTCATAATGTTCTGGAACTTTATAAATTTTTTATAGAGAATTCCAAATGATTATAATGAAGAAAACAAAAATAAATAATAATGTTATAATAATGTTCTTTGTTAAGTTCTAAATAGGCTTTATACAGATTTTATTTTATTTTTATTTATTATTTATTTATTTATTTTTAAATATATCTTTATTGATTTCAGAGAGAAGAAAGGAGAGGGAGAGAGAGAGATAGAAACATCAATGATGAGAGTCATTGATCGAGCCCGCAACCCGGGCATGTGCCCTGACCAGGAATCGAACCCCGATCGCCTGGTTCCCAGGTCAGCACTCAACTGCTGAGCCACGCCTGGCAGGGCACAGATTTTATTTTATTTTTATAATAACCTCTGAGATAGGCACTGTCATTATCTTCTTTTAAAAGGTACTAGCATTGAGATATTTTCCGAAAGTCACAGAGAATAAGTGGTTAAGTTCATTCATATATTTATTTTAACAGATATTTACTGAACTATGTGCCAGGCACTGTTCTAGGAGCTAGAGATAGAGCAATGAACAAGGGTAACAACAACAAAAAAAGGCCTTCATAGAATACACTCTTTAGTGGGAGACAGGAAAAAACAACAACAAATAAATATACTCTGATCTGTTCGGTGCTGTGGAGAAAAGTAAAGCAATATAAAATAAGAGAATGCCTTTTTTGGGGAGCGAGGTGGGGTGTTTGTATATGTGCTGTTTACAAAGGTAATTAGAGAAAATAAGGATGTGGAGGAACAAGTCATGTGAATACCTCGCCTGGAGGAATAGCATCCCAGGTATAAGCAAAAGCAGGTGCAAAGATCCTGAGGCAGCCGCCAGCTAAGCATGCTTGAGGAGGAGCGGGAAGCCGGAGTGGCTGGAGTGGCGTGAGTAAGGAGGAAGAGAAGTGGAGAGGCGTATACGGGGGTGGTTTACAGACCGCATATGTGGCCTTGTAGGCCATGGGTATGTCCTTGGTTGTTTACTCTGAATGAGAGAGGAAGTCACTGAAAGATTTTGAGTTTATAGTCTGATTTATATTCCATAAGGATCCTCTTGACAGCCTGTTGGAGAATAACTCTAGGGGGGCAAAGCTATTGCAATAATCTAGGAAAGAGATAAGGGTGGTTTAGACCCTAGGGCACGTGGTAAGAAGTGGGGACAAGAGGAGTGTTAGGAGCGGCGGCTTAGCAACCACAAGTGTGAGTCCTGGCTTGGCCTTGACTTGCTGTATGATTTTTGAAGGAGTTTCTCAATCTATTTGATCCCAATGTTCTCATCTGAAGAAATGAAGGTAAAAATATCCACTTTTCAGTGTATGCTAAAGAGGTTTCGGATAGAGTTGGCCACTGGTGGATGACTGGTATTATAAAACATTTTGCAGCTACCCAGCAGCGGAAGAGAACTGGCCGCCTTCCAAAGGAAGACTGAAGAAACACTATTCAGTTTACTATGCAGATGCTTCACAGTGATTTAGAACAACTGCTCCGCAGCCCGACTTTCCACAGAGAAAGTCATCTTTAGGACAAGGAAATGACTGACTCATTTATCCAGAAGATATAGTGATTTGTTCTCTCGTGGATGGGGAATTCGGTTTCCTTATTTACAAGGAACAAGGTCAGAGCTGAAGATGTTGTCTTCCAAATACAAAACACTTTGTAGAGGGTGCATTTCACTGAAAGCCAATGTATAAATAACATAAGGGGGGGAAAAGAATAATATGGTCTGCAATTGCTTTTCAGGGTACAAAAGGACATTGGATTTTTTTTCTCTCTCAGCATAATTCAGAAAGCAGTGGCACCCCAGGGAGCCAAGATTGGGTTTTCTCCTAGGGCAAGAAAGACATTTTTCTAGGGGAGGGAAAGGCATGTGAGGGCTTGGGGGAGGTGAGGATGATTTCTGCCATTGAACAATGCTGTGTATGAAGCCCGAGATACACACAAACATATTAATATTAAAGGGCAGAAGCAGCTTTAGAATTTTTCTGCTGAAGTGGCTTCAGAGGGGCCACCTGCGTTGGAGGGGTGGCAAGGAGATTTATCTTGAGTCTGTTCTGTAACCTGTGCGTTTAGGCGTCAGATGATGACGTAATGTATCTAAAATCCTCTCCAGTTGCCACCGCTGTAGAAAGAGCTTTTTTGATAAGTTGTTCTTCCAAGAAGGAAGAGTAGAGACACCAGAGACACACAGAAGGTGAAGTTCGTTGGGCATCTTCTGTTTCCCAGATTGGAAAGAGTCAGCAGAAGCTTCTCCCTTCTAACCCCATACCAGTCCTTTCTCATGTGATGGTCAGGGTTCCCAGCAGTCAGCATCTAGTGAGGATTTAGAGTTTGCTGCCTCTCAGGGCTCTTTTTTGTTGTTATTGCTTTGTGAAATAATTACCGAGGCCTGAAGAAGGTGTGTCCAGCTGTCTTAGTTCTGGAAGAAGCCTAACCTGCCGGTGAAGGTAGCTGAAAGGTGTGAGGCAAAAGGAGCCTTTCTTGCTGTAAGACCTGTCAGCAGAAAACTTAGTCCTCAGCGTTAGCAAAACCTAATGACAGCAGTGGGAGCTTTGGACTCTGTGTATCTAAAGACTGCAGGTTAAGAACTACTTGATTTTTTTTTTTTTTTTACCTTAATGAAAAGCGAGAAGTGATATATGGGAGTAGGCCAGGTGCAAATTGAAGCACCAAATGTGTGAAGTTAGGCTCCTAACCTGTGAATGAAGTACGTTCCTGTATCCATAACTTAGTCGGGACACGTTCTGAATAGCTGCTGGGAACAGGTTGCCAGATAAAATACAGGGTGCTAAGTTAAATCTGAGTTTCAGATAAATTATAAGTAATTTTTAATATAAATATGTACCATGTGATATTTGGGACATACTTATAATAAAAAATTATTTGTTGTCTATCTGAAATTCAGATTTAATGGACAACCTTTACTATTATTATTTGCTAAATCTGGAAACCCAAGTTGAGAAGTAGGTACTATGATGTAAGAGGAGAGTAACTTTTATCCATGTCTCTTCTGTGTCCTCAGTGTTGGCAAGAAGGGAGAAGTAAGGAATACCTAGGGTCAGAGTACCTGTGTTGGGCATGTGGACACTGGGTCTTTAAATATATCCAGTGTGGCTTCCATGAAGAATGAGAGTGGCCTGGAAATTTATGCAGAGCATAGAGGTCAGTTTTCTGAGTAGACAACTAAACCTAAACCATGTGCTTTCTGACTTCTTCATGCTGTTTTGTTTTTATAAGTCCAGTATAAGTATATTCTTGATTCAGGCCTTGGATTAATTTCAACTATCATCCTTGTACTGATAACTTTTAAATTTAAATCTTTATTTTGGGTTAATCAAGTGATTACCAACATGCTTCTCATTGTGACTTATCTTTCCAGAAAGGAGGTATCTAGAGGTCGTTAGAGAAGAAAGTGTATGGAGGGCTGGAGGGATGCTATTTTCATGTGATTAGCCACATCTTTGTATTTGTAAGGGAATGCTTTTGAAATTTCAACAAGATTTAACCTAAAATAATTATGGAAGAGAGTGTTTCTTGTTTTAAAATGCCTCTGTAATGGGATTTGTGTCCTAAAACCATTTATTTCACCAGTCATCACCTAAGGATTAAAATAAGATCATGAGAATATATTTGAAAGAGCAATGAATTCAGATAAAGAAAACCCAAGACCATGCTTCCTCTTACTGTGGACCTCTTTGGGTTTCAATTTCCATATTTCCAAATTAGGGGGATTAGATAATCTCTAGGGCCCCTGGCAACCTTAACACTCTATGATATTATTATGGTAGTTTATAACTAGTGTTTAAAGCAATTAGTCAGCTTCATGTTTTCTCTGTCTCTTTTGCATAGAGCTATATATATGCCATCCTCACCTCAGCTACAGAAAAAAGATCATCCCCATTTGTCTCAATTTTCTAAGACCAAGGTCCTGGAAAATTACCTGCCTACCTTGACAGCCACGTACTCAGATAGCAATCCTTCGAGTCACACCTTCTGTAGACTCAAAAATGCTGACTCTTTAGAAGTCCCACAGCAGTGGATCTCTGGCTCCAGCCCACCTGCTTACCCCCATATGGTTTGATGATATAAGATTACTCTTCATTTGTCAGCAGCTTAGCTTTGTGCATTGTGCCCAGAATATGTATGTGAATGGATCTGCTCATTAAACAAATATTTATGTTGTGCTTATTTGGACACAGCCACTGGACAGGATGAATCTGGTGCCTTCACTGGTTTGGGGCTTCAATATATACATTTAATCTACAAGGATTTATGACTGTGCTTCTTAAAGACAGGGACAACTGAAAGCAGTCATGTGCTGGCATTGGTTCACAGTAGCTCACGAGAGCTAATTGTTATATTTTCTGAGCTTATTGTTAGACACAACCATTGTGCAAAATTAAATCAGACAAACCAACAAATAAAGTATACTAAAAACAAAGGTAATAAATATTCAAAACCCTTTACCTCCTAATTATTTTACTCTACATATCTCTGCTGTTTATGTTATTTAAACATATTGTGTCTGTATGGTGGAAACACTATGTAATGATGTTACTGCACGTTTCTTCCCAACCATACACTCAGTGACCTGTTGGTAGCTGCACATTCCTCATACCTTGGTCCTCTATCTTTACCATTTATACCCACTTAGAGTACTATTGAGCCTCATAGCTTTAGCCAGCACATTCTTTGATGGTGCACAAATCTCCGTTTTCACCTTGGCCTGCCATTGGAGCATATATCCTGCAATTTTTGACTGCCACTAAGATACTGCATTTGAAATATCCTGCTCATTAATCTGCCCATCTCCAAATTAGTCTGCCCTTCCAATGTACTCATTTCAATCAGTGGCACTCCTGTTTGTCCTTGATCTCAAGCTATAAAGTTGCATTATTTATTCCCCATATCTGATTAGTCATTAAACCCCACTATTCTTTCTCAAGCTTCACTTACCCTTGGTTCTCATGATTGACAGTGAGGCCAGCTGAGAAGCCACTGGGTGCATCCCGTTCAGCCTCTTCACTGCTCTCTGCACTGAAAGTCTTGTTTTCTCCTCTGTGCTTTTGCACATGGTGCTCAAGAGACACTTGATGATCTTTATGGTAGTCCCTTATTATTTACTGGCCTAAATTGCTCTCCAGCTTCAAATATCTATGTATTTTCTCTTCATCTAGGTTGTAAACTCCTTGAGGACAAAAAGCAGGTCATAAACTTTTCAGAATTAGTGTCATAGTGCTAAATACAGTGCCCAGGAAGGCTTCCTAATGCAATTAATTGACTATAACCCTTTTTTGTTAAGAATATGTAATAGTCTCCTATTGCCTGTTAAGACAATCCCTAGCTCTTCAGACTAGCATTCCAGGTGTACTGGCAGCTGGCTCCACCTTACCTGCTCTTATCTTTAGCGCTCTGACATTGGCCCTCCATTCGGGTTGACCTCCAATCAGGTGACTCGGACACACACACGCGCACACACACTTAAATCAGTATTAAAATGATAATCTTTCTGTCTCAGTTTTGCCCAGGGACCCAGGACATTAGGTACCCACCACCACTTTGAAAAATGCAATGCTGGACCACATATGAAGGAATGGTAAATGAGACAGAGAAAGCCAGTTTTGTGACCTTCTGCCCAGTGACAATAGGTTGAGGTTGAGAAGGACCAGGGAATTAGGAAGAACATTTCTTTGAAGAAAGTAAGTGCAGATGCATGCCTTCCTTCTAATGGTAGGGTTTTGGGGCTTCCTTCTCATCTTATGTCCAGTGAGAGAGGTTTTCAGGGAACTCCGCAGATAGTTCGGTATGTTCTCTGAAGTTTCAAGGGGGAAATGGAGTTGACGTGCAACTCATGATGAGAAAATGTAAAGGAGCAAGTCTGTGGCAGAAGCTGCCTGTCTGGTGGCAAAGGAAGAAAAGGTGACGAAATTGGGAGTCATGAGTGCTTTTGTTGATGATGATGGGACAGAGGTACAGGTTCCCTGTGGACCAGTTGTGGGTCACCTTGAAAAGCCAGCTGGGTCACTTTGAAATGAAAATAGACCACACCCCAAAGGACTTCTAGAGACAGGGCCATCTCGGCAGAAAGAAGCAGGAGGTCTGGTGGACGCAGAGCTGTTGGGAGGTGTGAGGGTGAAGGGCAGGGCATGCATTTCATCAAGCTCCTGTCTTGTTAGAACTTCTTTTTCACTTACTCCTGAATGGTGAAGGAAATTCGTCTGATTTTATTAATCCTCCCACCCGCCATGGGGGCTGGCAGTGTGTGTGAGCACTCAAAGGCATGAGACTTCTCAAAAGCATTTCAGGCCCCAGCTGGTGTGGCTCGTCTTGTGCACCGGAAGGTTGCTGGTTTGATTCACGGTCAGGGCATATGCCCAGGTTTCGGGCTTCTCTCACATCAATGTATCTCTCCCTTTCCCTTACACTCTCTGGGAAATCAATACAAACTTTTTTTTTTTTTTAAATAAAGCATTTCAGGGCTCGAGGGACCCCAATAGATCAATAAATTTATGATGGCTCTGTAAGTGGAATGAATGAATCATATATGAGCATTAAATAAATGAACCTCTGTGCCTCCTCTGCAGGTAATACAGGCTTGCCATTCTTGTCCCAAAGCAATCGAAGTTGTAGTCAACGCCTATGAACACATCAGGTGGAACGTAAAGTGGAAACGGGCTATCCCTGATGATGACTTGGAGGTAAAGAATCAATTCACTTCCTCTGGCTTTCAGTATAAAGTACTTCCAGACTACAATGGAAGTGCAGAAAATTCTAATTTAAAAAAAAAAAGGTTTTGAGGATGCTTTTAAGACTTCCTCAAATGTGAGACAAAATGTTATAAAATGTATGCGTGGAAGTGTATATGCATCAAGTAGATAGCACTTGGGAGTGTCTTGGGAGATTTGTCCATTTAAGGGCAAGTTGAACAATTATATAAAGGTGGCAGCTTTACTTTCTTCCCATCAATTTTGGTGAATTAAACAATAATAATACTAGGGATTGCTCATAGAGTATTTTTACCAGAAGACTAAAGTGTTTCATGTAGATAATTTTATTCACTTTAAAATATCCTGAAGCTGCTAGTAGGCAGAAAACTGAGTATAGTTGACCCTTGAACAACATGGGTTTGAACTATATGGGTACGTTTATACATGATTTTTTTTCATCTTATAAATAGACCATGTAAACTTATGGTATTGATAAGTATATTTTCTCTTCTTTATGGTTTCTTTAATAACATTGCCTTTTCTCTAGATGACTTTATTGTAAGAATTCAGTATGCAATACATATAACATACCAAATATGTGTTAATCGACTGTTATCAGTAAAGCTTCAGGTCATTAGTAGACTATAAGTAGTTAAGTTTGGGGGGAAACAAAAGTGATATGTGAACTTGAGACTGCACAGGGGGTCAGCACCTCTAACCCCCTGTTGTTCAAGGGTGAACTGTATTAAAATTCGGTGATGGATCATACAAAAAAGTAATTAGCAAAGCTGAGTCCTCACTCTACCTATGGACTTGGCTGCCGTTGTAAGCCAGTTCTTCCCTCGAGCCTTCTGTTCTGGCTTTTAGCAGTCACAGGCTATCTATACCTGTGGCGAGGTATCAGGTACAGAGTGCAAAGCATACTAGGATTGGAGGCCAATGGCTTAGGTGCAGTCTTCTTCTGCTACTTATTAGCTATGTTACCTCTTAAAGGTTATTTAATCTGACTCAGCCTCATTCCTTGATAAAATATCTAAATGTATGGGTCACACAAGACAAGTAAAGAGTTGACAATAGTATTTAGATTAATTTAAAATTGCTATTTTGGTTTACGCTGGTCCAGGCAGTTCACATGAGTGTATTTTATCCCATTCCCTGGGTTCTGAACTGTAGTGTAGAATATTACACCCCCTCCTCTCTCTTATCTCCTTATATACCAACCCCTCAGTTCCCCATCTCAATTTCAAGTTTAATTTTGTCTTACTATCTGAGACCCTAGAAAGCTGCCATTATGTATAAAGTCAGGCCTAAATTCATCATTGCTGATTTCTATGGATGTCAACTGTGGGGCTTTTCTGACTGTAGCCTGTATTTCCTTCCTTTGCAGAGATACTGGGATTTTTACCACTCTCTCTTCACCGTGTGCAGTAACTCTCCAAGGACTCTCATGCATTTATCGAGATGCGCCATTCGAAGAGTGTTACACAACAGATGTCACAGAGTAATTCCTCTGCTTTCCCTCCCATTGTCATTGAAAAAGTACTTGCTTTTAGAGCCAGAGGGAATCATTTATTAAGTCTTATGAGACAGAGATTCCCAATCCCAGATATTTAAGTGGACTCGCCGGGTAGAACACAGTTTACATAAAAATAAAATGGTACTTGGGTTGATTATAACACTTCAGGGATTTCAGAACACTTTACGAACAGGATGTCATATCATTAATCCTAGGGTTTCGTGGTGAGGGGAAGTATACCAGAAGCAAAGCTGAGGCATTCTCAAAGACAAGAATGTATCCAGAACATACAGACATAAAAATAGTGACTAACATGTAGAGGTACTCTCACTAGGTGCCTGATATATTTTTATAAAAATTTTCCTATATTATCTCATTTGAAACGGGACCCAGAGGTTTTTTTTTACAACCAATCTCCCTTATCAGTGATAAGTTTACATTACCATTCATTGGGCAGAATAGCAGGCTTTGCGATCGGCCTCTTAATCTTGGTGGCTTCCCCCATTCCCACTTAGCAGAAAGGACTGTTCCTAGTTATGCAAACTCCTATCCCCACACCGAGCTCCTCAACTGATTCTTAGTGATGAAAACAGGTGAGCCTAGTCAAACAGGGAGATCTTTGAGTCAACTTAGAAATGAAAAACAAAGACCAGTCCACTTAATAGTCAGAAATGGACATTTCAACACACTCTCATTGAGCCAGAGACCGGAGATGCAAAGATGAGCCCGAAACAAGGACTCCTGCCCTCCAGGATCTCACCATTTAGCAGAGGATCCGGACATGCAAGCAGGGAACTGCCATGTCAGATGTCAGGGGCAAGGGTACAGGTGCTGACTCATTCATAGTGCTTGCCTTTCAAAGTTCTTTTTCTGACATGAAGTGTGATTTTCTTTTAAGCATGGAGATAAAGAGTGAATGGATTGTGTGAAGTAGGGGTGGGGGGGGGTCTCCAAAATGTAGTCACCTTAAGTTTCTTCCCCCATCTAGATATTGTTTCTCTTAGTATGACTTCCTGTTTAGTGAGAAGGGAAAGACTTAAGTTGATTACATGGGTCTTTTTATGTAACAGACTGACATTTCAGAGCATTTTACCTAAAAGGTAAGGAGCGCTTTGCTGGCAATGGCTGGCTACAGAAAGCAAACACTAAAAAGACGTTTTTGAAAATGACAAAAGTTTGAAAACATTGGAGAGAGAAGTATGGTAGATAGGCTTGTTAGTTCGTGGTTTGCAGAAAGAGAAATATAGATGATGAACATCTGGACCTCATGGTTTATGAGGCCAACTTGCTTCATTTTTTTGCTCTTGCTGACCATTTAGTATTGTTTTTTAGATGTCAGAGCAGAAGTAATTAAGCACACACAAACAAGTTTGCAAGTTGTAAGCAGGCTTCTTTTATTTGTGTGGTTCTCCATCTTATTTAACTTTAGATGCTTGAGTTTTGTGTAGAGATGATGTGAAATATTCCATTTAGAATGTGCTTCTAAACTGGCATTCTCATATTCCAGGGCCATGGAGGAAAAACCTTAAGTGGATACAATAATCTTTTCAAAGTATCAGTTTTACTTAAATATTTGGGAGAAATATTTTGTACTAAAACAAGACCTATAATATGGAATAGAATCTGTGTGAATTGTTTATGTAAAATGTGACCCTTCAGAAAAGAGTTCGCTTGCATCACATTGTTAGAACACATGGTAGGATGCTGAGGGGAGGCTCACGCTGCTGACCCCTTCAGGAATATTCTGGCGGACAGATTTGTGATGCACTGACTTAGGCAATAAACCGATGCTGCGGACGAGAGAGGCGATGTTCCTCCCATGGGAAAATATTGTTTCTCAGTCAGCTTGTCTGTGCTTAAACATTTTGTGTTAATCTGATATATAACACATGACTTCTTGTTTATTCATGGACTTAAAGTTCTCTTTCCTCATCTTAGATCTTTTATTGAGAGGACTTAAATAAAGCTCTTCTGTTTTCATCTTCGTGAGTTTGTCAATTTACTGAGACCTTTCCCTAACTGACCTTTCAGCAGTTGCACTGAAGAACTCCGCATGTTTCATGGCTTTCTTCGGCATTTTGAAAGAAAAAGAGAATGAGATGTTCCTGGAAATAAAAAATATTTTCAAAAGAAAGAAATGGGTAAACACGCCCTGCTGGTGTGGCTCAATGGTTGAGCAGCGACCTATGAACCAGGAGGTCAGGGTTCCATTCCCAGGCAGGGCACACACATGCTCAGGTGTAGGGCTAGTTCTCTAGTAGGGGGCGTTTAGGAGGCAGCCAATCAATGACTCTCTCTCATCACTGATGTTTCTATTTCTCTCCCCCTCTCCCTTCCTCTCTCTGAAATCAATAAAAACATATTTTAAAAAAATTTAAAAAGAAAAGGGTAAACACAAAATGCAAGCTATTGTGGTAGGAACAACAGTGTTTTATTAACAGTAAAGAAATTATAGGGTCATTCTCTTCTATCACTGTCTCATTCCTCCTGGGTTTTTCAAATTTCTTCATTATCATCATTCACACAATTCTGGACAATAGCAGCAGAGGAAATTATATCCTCATGATGCTTTTGTTAGTTTCTGTAAATAGTCATTTAAGAGCCTAAAAGAAAATCTCTCTTTTGTAAGTTTCATGTGAGGAAGCATCTTTGATATAAGATCGCCTATCTGGTTTTCTCCCTTTCTCAGGATCTAGACACACTTGTGTTCGGTTTTTTAATCACATAGCGTTACATTGCCACTCTGTCCTGCCCTCCTGAACCCAGTGACTTCTAATAAATAGCACAGCAGTCAAAGCTGATTACAGGGATAAAGAAAGTGGCAAACCATTTGCAGTGGGTTAGCAATGTGGGAAAAAGCAACTGAGCCTTATGTTTTTGTTGTTCATCTGATTGTTTGTGAACACTTCATGAAGTTTTAAACTGGCACACATTCAAAACATTTTTAAAAGAATCCAATTACAGTGGAACCTTGGTTCTCAAACTTAATTTGTACTGGAAAGCTGTTCGAAAACCGAATCATTTTTTTCCCTTTAGAAATAATGTAAATTGAATTAATCCATTCCAGACCAACAAAAGCAAAAAAACCCACAAAAATATTCACAGCACAATTTCCTGAGATGTTAACAACGTGAAGTTTAGCAGTAAACTGACTCATACTCATGCATTCTCTCTTTTGTCGCCCAAGAGACGTGTGACAGATCATACAGGTATCAGCATGAAAGGGTTGTCTGGTCAAGAATCGAAGTTTTGTTTGACAACTGAGGCATTTTTCAGTGAGCAACTTGGTGAAGAACCAAATTGTTAGAGATGGGAGACATTTGAGAAAGTTTGAGATGGTAAATGTTCAGTTTGAGATGGAAGATATTCAAGAAAGTTAGAAATGGGAGACATTCAAGAACCGACTTTCTTGGCCTCATCTGCTGAACTCCTTGCCCCCCTGGCTTCTTGGTGGATTCAGTGTATGGGAAGGCCAGCTGGGGCTGAAGGACAGGAGGATACAGAGATTGGGACACTTCCTGGCAACTTCCCTGGTGGGCTTCCTCTTGATAGTGGCTGAATTCCTTTTCCAAGGCCACAGCTCCTATTAGGAGCCCTTCTCCTACGCTATTACTGTTCTCCCTGGGTTATAGTAACTGCTTCCTCCACTTGTTCCTTCAGACCTCAGGCTAGTCAAGGTTTCCTCCTGTTGCCTTCGTCTTGGTGCTTCATCATTCCTTGCTACCTACATTTCTATAAATACTCCTTGATGAAGTGCTCTTCAATCACCCCTATTGAGTGTGTAAGTCATTTTTTCTAGGAATCTTCACAGACACACAAACACACACAAGACACAAACACCTAGTGAGAGCCTGGGTATTGGTAAGTGCTGATGATGTTGAGGGATGATAGAGGTCACATTGGACCAGTTGTCAGGCAGGTGGACTTGAGCTGTGAAGGGTGGGGTTTGGGTAATTATTTAAGTAAGAGTAGGGCAATAGAAAGGGTGGCATTTAAGATAAATGAGTAGCCTCAGTGAAAGGTTAGAGTTGGAATATACAATGAGTATTACCATCACCAATTAGACAAGCTTGACTGTAGTAGAAGATGAACATTTGCTGTGGAGTAGAGGGTGAGGCTGGCAGGGCTGAGTGGGATCAAATGAAATGTCTTGACCATGGGGAAGCACCATGGGAAACCAATGCAATATGATTATTATCATAATTACTCTTTTTTCAACCCTATAACTTTTGTAGTAATGATAATTATGATAAAACCACATAGCACTCATACAGTATTTTATAATTTTCAGAACATCTTCATGATGCTTATTACAGATAATAGCCTTTACCAATACCCTCCGCTCTCTTCCATGTAAAAAAACAAACAATTCTAAAGATTTAGATATGAAAGAGAAAGCTAAACATGACATTAATTAACCCTTTTCTCATGTAAAACACTCTAATCATATGGACTGATTTACTCAAGCAAAACGAGGATTATAATCTTGATTTTTTTTAATGTAAAAAGCTAAAATAATTTTTAATTGCATGAAAAAAAGAGAAAAAAAAGAAATCTCTCTACCAATACATTAGAGCAATGGTTTTCAACCCTTTTCATCTCATGGCACACATAAACTAATTACTAAAATTCTGCTTCACATCAAAAAATATATTTTTTGCCGATCTGACAAAAAAAATAAGTATAGTTTGATTCATTCACACCGGATAGCTATTGTTGTTGGCTGTTGTCATTTTTCCATTTGACAGTCTAAGGGAAAAGAGCTCAGTGCCCCTGACTAAATAGTCAGATATTGCATGTTTTAAAAATTATTGCGGCACACTGGTTTAAAATAGCTGCAATAAAGGATGAAGGAACAGAGGCAAAATTTGGAGTTCTAGGACTGCTTATAAGTCTCGCCAAGGCAGTGTTCAAGTGATAAATTGCTTACAGAAGCACGAACATAATTGCAGTCCTGCAGGGGCCCGGGGACTCCCAATACTGCTGAAGTCGGAGAGAAGATGACAGGCTTCTGCTTAGGATGGTCCATTAGGGAAAGCTTAGGCAGAGCAAATTGTTTCTGAGTAACCTTTGGCTAGTTCTCAGATAAATATATATATATACTGCAAAGCCATGCAGTGTGGCACAGGGGGAAGTTATGGATTTTGAGATGTGATAGTTTGAATTTTAATCCTGATTGTGCCACTTAATATCTGTGTAAAATTGGGCCAGTTTTTTAATCCAACTGTCAATTTCTTTATTTGCATAGTAATGATGAAACTACCT